GAGTGTCATTGTCACATGGTTGTGTCAGTGTCACATGGTTGAGTGCCAGTGTCACATGGTTGAGTGTCGAGTGTCATATGGTTGAGTGTCAGTGTCACATGGTTGAGTGTCAAGTGTCATATGGTTGAGTGTCAAGTGTCACATGGTTGAGTGTCAGTTTCACATGGTTGAGTACCAATGGTACTCAACCATGTGACACTTGACACTACCATGTACTATAACTTTTTCATAGTTCACAAAATATTCAAACTACCTCCTGACAATGACTGGTGGTACAGTGTGGTGTGTGTCTTCAATATGACCATTATCATTGTCTGCAGAATCTGTAAAATAAGAGGGTATCTTAATATCTCCTTGTCAACACTGATGGCGCTCTACTTTTCTGATGATCTCAACCTGATGAACAAGACGTGAGGGTGTTATACAATAAAGTTATAGAATGCTAGTGTACATGTATTCATATAAATGACAAAAACATGCAATTCTACAACACTGCAACATTTCAATTTATTTCTGGTATGTATTTCTTGCAATAACAGTATACATGTACCTATAAATGACAGCCATCCCAGAATGCTTTGCGAATCACAGATGGAACCATTAAACAATAGTGTATGGGGAGGATGTCCAGTTTTGACAACAGCCAGGCAGTTATCTTTAGCATGTGCACTATGTGAGAAGTGACCTGTATAGAGATAAAAATTGTGTCAGGTTATACCTATGGATTACTATAGCAACTGAAGAAGGCAGCAGAATGTGTACAAGCAAAGAAGAATAGATGAACAAACTTATTTTAACTTTAGCTGTCAATCAAAATTTATAGAAAGATACTATTGGTAATGATATAACCTTTGACCTCAATGACACTAACCTTTGACATGATCCAATATGGCGTCTTGATTAATATCCATGTATACACCTTTATCTTGTTGTAATTTTAGCCTACACATAGGTTGTCCTGTTGCCAGCTTCAAAACCTCAATGCCCTGAAACGGGGGAAAAAAAGCTTGTAAATAATTGTATGGCAGGGATTAAGGACCCATGTTTGTTGACATTTATGTTCAAATTTAAGTCCCTCATTGAAGATAACTTTTTACAACCAACATGTTGGATATGTTCTGTTAGCACTATAGTTGAAGTTTCTGAAAATTATATTTATTTTCGAATATAACGATATTTTTGTTATGTCCCAAAAAAAGTAAATTTTTGGATTTTTCACACTTAGGAAGTTGGTACTGTCTATCAAAATCAACTATTTAGATTTAGAAGAAAAATATTGTTTTTAAGTAATAATCGTTCAAATTATCGATTTCAGACTTTTTGAATAAATTATTGATTTTTTCATTGAAGTGAAATTTCTTTCATTCCAGAAATGTTATCCAATATGTGTAGACATGTTAAGGCCACACTGATTTAATTTTATGGATGACATCCTCTGAAGACCCCAAAACGAATGCGAGAGGGCGAAAAAAAAAAAATCGGCCAAAAGAAAAGAAAATGCTGCTAAAACCACAGAATTACGGAGCTATTATTACGAAAAGAACCACAGTGTATCAAAAAACAACAAATCTTTATTTGTAGGAGGCACATGTTGATGTACACATTTCGTACTGTATTACTGTCACAGGTATCATCACCTTTGATTTTGAAAAGGCAAGAGGATAAGGCAGATGTTAGCTTTGCCAAAGGCATACACATCAACTCAATAATAAAGAAAAACTTACTGTGTTGTATTGAAAAAAATAATTAATTAAAAATGAACAATAAGTTTGTCAACAGCAACCTGGAAATTAACTTCTTTGACATTAAAACTACAGCTTTTAAAGTGACACTTCAGATAGACTAAGTGTAGACACAAATGCTGTAGAACTACTTCAACTATGTAACAAATTATAAGAGGCTTGATATTGAAAAAAAAAACACCAACGTCACCCCGTAAGGGGAGTTCGGCCAAGGAGCTTCTGCTGCTTTCGTTGCAGTTTTGTCGACTTCAATGCGGACAAAGCAACCGAACTGATTTGTCGCCTGACCGACTTTTAGGCCACCATACACCTCCACTCTCTCCATTTCTCTCAT